ATTAAAGGTTCATGAAGTCGAGACAAACACTGGAAACAGAAGCGTTTTCACAGCTGTGGACGAGAGCGAAAAAAAAAAAAATCACACAAAAAACCTGAGGTCTGCAGGAGTGTGTGTGTGTACGTCTGGAAACTCCAGGAAAATATATTCAAACATATGTTTAAAAATATATCTGAACCTATATCTAAACATATGTTCAAACATATATTTTAACATGTTTAAACATATGTTTAAAATATGTTTAAACATATATTCAAAAATATATTCATACGTATATTCAAACATATGTTAAAAAATATTTTTTTAAACATGTTTAAACATATGTTTAAAATATATTTAAACATATATTCAAAAATATATTCAAACGTATATTCAAACATATGTTTAAAAATATATTTAAACATATGTTAAAACATATATCTAAACATGTTTAAACATATGTTTGAATATATGTTTAAAATATATTTACACATATATTCAAAAATATATTCAAACGTATATTCAAACATGTGTTTAAAAATATATTTTAAACATATATTCAAACATATTTTCAAACATATTTTCAAACGTATATTCAAACACATTTTCAAACATATATTCAAACATATTTTCAAACATATATTTAAACATATATTCAAAGGGTGATGAGAGGCAGCCGGAGACTCAGTTTATCGTTGTTTAGTTTTTTGATTTTAAAGCAGTAAAATTCCTTTGATCCTTCATTGAAGACGATTGCCTTTATTGTCTTTGTTCAGATGTTTTTTTACGTCATGTGACCGATGTCACAAACACGTTTTATTTTCATCCCGTCATGTTAGCGTTTTACGCTGCCCCCCCCCATCATCCCCTCCAGAAAAAGAAATAAAAAACCAAGGTGGGAAACGGACGCTGCTGTCTCAGTGGGTGAGGCGGCGGCGGTGGTGGTGGCAGCGCGGTGGCTGCGGCGGTGGCGTCTGATTTGTGACCTTTGTGCAGTTTATGAGTGAGTTGGTTTGGAGGAGATCATAAACCTTTATGAAGTTCCACCGTCTTTGACTTCCTGTTCTCTGTTCACACCAGGACAAACACACCCTG